ATCCCCCTGACCCTTCCTCCATCTTCGCGGCTCCCATCTCTACATCCACCCCGCAGCCTGCGGATACCCCATCGACATCCCAGGTTCCTACGCCGTCCACTGCCGAGTCCACCCATACGTCTCGTGCCGACGCAGTCGTTGAGGAACTCATGCGGTTCACGGCTGACTTAGAGCCCGTCATTCGCGACCTGATTCGGGAGTACCGCGACGTCTTCCCCCGTATTTCTCATACAGCGGGATTCCCCCGATGCGCGGTGTCGAGCATTCCATCCAGCTCGTGCCTGACTATTGTGTTCACCATCAGACACCATACCGACTCTCGATTCCAGAGGCGACGGAACTCAAGCGTCAGCTTGAGGAGCTCCTTCGACTTGGTTTCATTAAACCTAGTAACTCCCCTTGGGGTGCACCTGTCCTCTTTGCTCGCAAAGCAGACGGAACTCTCCGCCTCTGCATCGATTATCGCGGCCTTAACCATTACACGGTTAAGAACAACTATCCCATGCCCCGCGCGGATGAGCTGTTTAACCGTCTGGCAGGCAACCGCTTCTTCACGAAGATCGATCTTCTTAGCGGTTACCACCAGATCTGCGTTGCCGCAGAGGACCAGCCGAAGACCGCCTTGTGGTCGCGCTTCGGCCACTACGAGTTCACGGTGATGCCATTCGGCCTCACCAATGCACCCGCCACCTTCCAGACGGCGATGAACGACATCTTCAGGGACATCCTTGAAGAATACGTTCTCGTATACCTGGACGACATCCTGGTCTACATTCGTACCTTAGAATACCATATCAGACACCTCCGCGATGTCCTACAGCGCTTATGCAAGCATGGCTTCTATGCCAAGCTCAGTAAGTGCCGCTTTGCCCAGCGCAAAGTGGACTTCCTAGGACACCATGTGTCTGACCAGGGTCTCCACATGGACGACGCGAAGATCAGGGCTATTGCAGAGTGGCCCGTCCCCACATCTGCCAAGCAGCTTCGCAGCTTTCTAGGCCTCACCAGCTACTATACTAATTTTATCCAGGGATACGCTAGGTATTCCTACGTCCTTACCTCCACCCTCCTCCGGAAGAACCCGCCGTGGTTTTGAACACCCCTCTGCGAGGACGCCTTCCGCGCCCTCAAGAAGGCGGTGACTTGCGCGCCGGTTCTTCGCCTTTCCGATTTTGATCGTCCCTTTATCGTCACCACCGATGCGTCAGATTTTGCAGTAGGAGCTGTCCTTTCTCATGTGTTTCCCTCTCCTCCAGATTCACCTTACCCCCATGTTCCTCCTTTTCCCCCCCCTCCTGCTGACACTGCTTCTCGACTGACGCCTATCCTACCACCACTTCCCTCCACTGACAGTCCTCCCATTACTTACTCCCCGACCATCGCGGAGGATGAGACGGTCGAGGCTCGTGCTGGGGATTCCCGTCAGCTACTACCTGCCGAGATAAACTACACTGCCGATGAACGTGAGGTTCTCGCAGTAGTTTATGCTACCCGGCATTGGCGTCATTATCTGCATGGGGCGCCCTTCACGGTGCGCACGGACAACTCAGTTGTCCAGGCTTTCCTCACGAAGCCTAAGCTCTCCCCTCGACAGGCACGCTGGTGGCGTGACTTATCCGAGTTCAGTTTCACCACTCAGCCCATCAAGGGTGAAACGAACCGCGTCGCTGATGCTTTGTCCCGCCGTCCTGATCACAATCAGGAACCCATCCATCTTGCTGCCATCTCCATCACCAGTGTTGATCAGTCGGTGATCGACGAGTATCGCACTAAGTACCGCCACTGCCCCGATTATCGCGTCATCCACGCGACACTGCGGAGTGGCAAGACCGTTTCTTCCTACTCCCTCGGGGAGAACGGCCTCGTGTACTGGCATGGCAGATCTGGTCAGCTAGAACCACGTATCTGTGTTCCCTCCACCGGACAGCTCCGCGTCCAGGCTGTAGCAGAGTTCCATGACCAGGCAGCTGCCAGTCATATGGGTTTCCACAAGACGTTGGCTCGTGTTTGCCGCCTATACGTCTAGCCGAAGTCCAAGGACTTTGTCAAAACCTACATCCAGGAGTGTCCTACCTGCCAGGAAGTGAACAGTGCGAACCACCTTCCGTATGGGTTACTTCAGCCCCTACCCATACCTGAAGGTCTTTGGCAGTCTATCTCGATGGATTTCATTGGTCCCCTCCGCCCACCCACTCAGCGCGGTCATGATGCTATCTTGGTCGTCGTCGATCGCTTCACGAAGCGTGCACGTTTTGTTCCGTGCCGCTATCGCATTAGCGCTCGTGAGGTCGCCGACATCGTCTTCGACCGAGTCGTGAGAGATCACGGCTTACCTCAGAGCATCATCTCCGACCGTGATCCGCGCTTTACCA